CCCTCCAGGTGGGGCGAGGCTCACCGACCAGCACGCAGAGCCACTGGCAGGACGTTAACACTGACAGGTGACGCGGCCCCCGGCCCTCAGCCTGCAGCCTCGCCCCGCGCCCCGCCAGGAGCCACAAGCGAGTGGGAAGTGCAGAGGCCCAGCCCTGGCCAACAGCGGGGCCAGCGCCCTCGGCAGGGCCGCAAGCCCAGCAGAGCTGCTCAGATGCCTGACCCGCAGAAACGACGATGTCTGTTTTCAGCACTAAATTTTAGGGTGATTTACAGTATAACGCAGCAGGGAACAGAATGAAGTGTCAGTCTCCACAGTGGATCCTTCTGCAGGACAGACTGCTGCCTTCACCGACCGGGAACGTTTCCAGCCTTAAATCCGCAGCTGCCAGTTCTCATTTAACTTACCAGGGGTGAAGGCTGAGGTATTCTGACTGAGTATCCGAAAAGCTTACACGGAATGGCTCCCCAGCCCTCACGTGCGGGAGTGCCGCCACAGGTCTCTAAGTTCCCAGAGACACCCTTAGGCAGCGGCAGCAAGACCCACAGGCGCGTAAGCGAGACAAACTGTCCCCTGGGGAAACAGAGTCACGCAGCACTGAGGCTCCCAAGAACCTAACGAGAGAGGGAAAGAGTAAGAAAAGGGTTGAGAACCAACCTTGGAGTTAGCATCTGCAAAGCCTCTCCAACTCCAGGCGGGAAACAGGAGTCAGGAGCAGCCGAGACCTCACTGCTTTTCTCCAGAGGAGGAGTCTGAGGTAACACATCAGGACGACCGAGGTGGACGCCTGGAAGGCAAGGGGAGGAAAACCAGTAAACCAAGGGAGAACGGGCAGGTGGCAAGGGGGCGCATGCGGCAGGCGCCTCCTGGACAGGAGGGGCAGAGGCCTGGGCACGAGGCCAGGCGCAGGGGGACCGTGCTGGCGCTGACCTGGCTCCACGTCTGCCCTTGTGGTCACTTCTGCCTTGTGCTCCCCAGAGACGGAGGGCTGGTAAGGGACGCAGGAGTTGCCGCTGGGGCCTGCTCGCCGAGAGAAAGATGAGCCAGACCGAAACTTTTTCGAAGGAGAGGGCTTCACTTTAAAAGGGAAAGAGAGAGCCTCTTAGCACCCGCCTAAGGAACTGCCACCGAGACGCAGACACGGCTCTGGTGCGCCCAGCGGCCCCCACACAGCTGCTCTGCGAGGCAGAAGCGCCGCGGCCCGCCGGCTGCCCCATGCACACCGCGAGGGCGCCTCGCTCAAGCGCTCCGGGAGGCGGCAGACGCGCTCCAGCAGAGGGACACACCGCGCCTCCCTGCACAGGCCGGCTCAGTGGCTTCCTGTGCACGTGGCCCGCGACCCCAAGGGTGGTGTGGGGAGCGCCCGCCAGGGAAGCGGGCAGACACGCCCCTCACTGCTCGCAAGGCGCAGGGCACCGCGGCGCGCTACGCCTTGATGCCCTGTTCCGAGGGCGCTGGCTGTCTCTAAGACTGTCCGGCACGTGCGGATCCTCCTCTGCCTCACTGAGAGACGACTGAAGTCAGCGAGGAGGAGACGGGAGGAAGACAGGGGACCCGCCAGTGGCAGCAGCGTGGAAGGTCTGGGAAGAACGTCACGCGCTGCCAACCAAGCGAGCTGGGGGGGAGCCAAGGACCTGCGCATGCGAACACCGCTGCTTCCAGCCCTGCTCCGGGGGCCCAGGCATCCGGGGTCGGGCAGGAGACGAAACGCGGGGGTGCCCGGGGCGTCTCTGTCCATCAAGGCCTGAAGCTCAGCCCGTGGCAGAGACCCCACACCCACGACACATTTCTGCTGTGCCTCCATTTTCCAGAAATGCTCCCGCCTCCAGGACACATGTGAAGGCGAGCTGGGGGCGGGGCGGCAACACGAGGGGAGCGGCTCACTGCGTGTGGGGCAGGAGGGCTCTGGCCTGCAAAGCTCCTGACAGAGGGATGTGCCCATCTCCCGGGCTCCCGGGGCCATGGGGTGATCTGGCAGAAGCACTTACGGGGGACCCTCTTGAACACCGTGTTGCACATGAAGCGCTGGAACCGTTCTGCATAGAAGCCCGGGCGATGCACCGACACAGTGTCCTGCGAAGCGGGAGAATGTGTGGTCGGGAGGCCCAGCAAGAGACCCCCCCCAGCCCAAGGGCAGGCCCCTCAGCTGAGACCCCGACAGAACCCACAAACGACTTAGGAGGAAACTGAGGAGGCAGTCAGAAGCGGAGGCCCCGGGCAGGAGAACCCCGGCACCCGCTACTCACCCCATCGTGCACCAGAGCTTTCCAAGAGTGCTCCAGCTTCTTGACGAACCTGCGAGAAAGTCACGCACCGCGCATTCACGTCACCTCAGGGAAATGGCTTCAGGCCCTCCCTGGTGGCGCAGCGGACTAAAGCACCGCACTATGAAGCTCTCAGAAGCCGCTGCAGCACGATTCGGTCCCCGGCCCCGGAGTGACCCGCCCGCTGCCCCTCAGCCTGTTCTGCTCTCCACTCTGTCTCCGGTGAAGCCTCTCACCCACCACACCTCTGGCCTGTGCCCCACTTCTGTAAGCATAAATAAAGAAATCTTTTTTTTTT